CCTGTGTCCCCTGCATCGGCAGGCGGACTCTCAACCACTGCGCCACCAGGGAAGCCCGAGTGAGGGTCTTTTTTAAAAGGGGAAGAACAAAGAGGCTGGGATTAATCATCATCTTATGAAATTTCTATGGCATTTCTTAAACGTAGTTTCAGGAACCAGGATGTCTCTGGTTTACGATTCTCTGGACAAGTGGTCCATGGCTCAGGGATCTATTAGCTCATATTGCCCTGGAGAAACAACTGAGTTTGTATGTTTAATGATGATATTTAGAATACCAATTTCAGTACATTAATGATGTTATTAACAACAGTAATTTTAGTCTCCTGACTCTGGTTGATGACTGTTCAGTTAGCACAGGACTAAGGTCAGAGGGGACAAGAAAGGGAATAAGTTTTGGATAAGGAGATTAATCATAAACTCGGTAAGGGAACTTGGTTTTAGGGGAACTCGGTTTCAGAATCACTTGGCCACACTTTTACAAAAACTCTAATCTCCTCAGTCCTTAAAAAGATAGGTCAGATGCCATGGTACCTGCAGAAGGGGTTTCTCTTTTCCAAGGTCCCATATTCAGCCTTTCTGGATTGGGACTTTAGTTTTGGTCCAGTAAATAAGTGACGTGTTTAGCACACTGCCTGGCACATTGGAAGTGCTCGATGACTCCCTGCTGTTATTAACATTAGAAGAAAGGGCCCTGGGGCCTAAGAGCCAGAGGTTCTAGGTTCATTTCCTGGCTGCAAATAACAAAAAAAGGAATTCTAATTAGTGTAAGGAAAAAAAAAGAAATTTATTGGCTCACCTAGCCTGGAGGACTAGCCAGATAGGTCACAGAACTAAACAGCTTCAGAAACCAGGGCCTCTGGAAGCAGCAATTCAACACTTGATATCTGTCTCTGCTCTTCCTTCCCTGTTGGCCTGCTTCTCTCTTACTGCAGAAAGGTCCTCTCCATGGGACAGAAAAAAATGGCTGCACCTGCTAAGCAACCCCAGCAGAAAGAATGTTTCCCCAGCCCCTGCTTCCTGCACTAATCCGAGAGGAATGGCTCTACTGGGCTTGAGGTCACATTCTGACCCTTGGGCCAATTACAGTTGTCAGAAGAATGAGACATTCTGCTTGGCTAGGCCTAGGTCACAAATGCAGCCGTGGATCTGGGCTTTGGGGAAGAGTGTCTGTTCCTTCTTGTGCGAAGTCCCAGATCAAAAGCAATCACAGGCCACATGAGTATTCCTGCTCCATCAATTACTGCCTGATGTTAGGTCTCACAGCCTCTCAGTTTCCTCATGATAAAATGGAGACTGTAACTTCTGACTTACCATACTCAATTTTTTGGGGGGTTAAATAATGAAGATCAAAGGACACAAGTTGTATGAAAAAAAAACGTACACATAACTATCTTAGCTAACAATATCGGTCAGGCCAAGCTACTTTAACTAACTACACTAGATAACAATTTAATTTGCAGCCAAAGTTGTTAACTATTAAAAAAATTCAAGAATTTTCAACAATAAAAATGACATAAACTTAATAAGGCTGTCACATTCAGTTGCCTTAAATGACGGGCAACTATTGGGTAGTCTATCTAAGAAACGAGTTGTTATCAAAAGCATCAGGGCTTCCCTGGTAGTGCAGTGGTTGAGAGTCCGCCTGCCGATGCAGGGGACACGGGTTTGTGCCCCAGTCCGGGAAGATCCCACATGCCGCAGAGTGGCTGGGCCCGTGAGACATGGCCGCTGAGCCTGTGTGTGCCCAGAGAAGCAAGGGCAGCAACACTGACACTGCCGCCTCTTTTTGGAACCAGGGAGGACTTATATCAAACACGTTCATTGAACCCACTGTTTAGGAACTCCTGCAGAGAGGAACTAAAAGGTATAAATGAGTCCTAGGGTAAATTCCAGCCCCAGATGTCCTATTTTTAAATGTGTGGCTCCCACGCTTTGGACCTCAGTCACCTTATCTGTTAAATAGTAGGTTTAATAAACTGGTCTGTAAGGTGTCTATCCTCTATACAACAAAGACAACTGCATTACGGAAATCCCATGAGTTCATCCTTCACGAGCCCCTTGTCCCCCACTGTGTTACACACCGTGAAGTTGTTGAGCAAAGTCTTTATTTAAGTGGAAAGTTGGCTGTCCAGAGGGGCAGCTGCATGGACCACCATTTCTGAGCAAGGTGCAGTTGCCTGGCATCTTAACTGGAGCTTCCCCTTGGGAACTTGGGAAGTCCCTTCCCCATTCTGAACCTCAATTTTCATATCTCAAGAAATGAGGGATTTGGGTTGAATGGATGAAGGTCCTTTTCTACCAGAAATCTGGCTGTATTTCTCCTAGTCTCCTGACTCCTAGGGGCAAAGACCCTAGTTCAAGTGCATGGAATAAAGCTTGGCCTCCTTTCCCCTGGCTGCAGAATCCCATTAGTATAATCAGAGGAGAGACAGCGGAGCTACAGGCTGGTTCAAAGCTCAGTCCTGCCACTCACTCACTGTGTGATAAAATACTCCACCTCTCAGTGGCTCAATTTCTCCATCTGTAAGAGAGGTTCCTACCTCAAAGAGTTCTTGTGAGAATTAAATGAGTTAATGTTTGCAAAGCACTAAAAACAGTGCCTGGCACGTAGTGCTTTGTAAAGTGTTTTTTGAATAAATAAAATTTAGTACGTGAACTGAATCTCTTCATAACTCTAACAGCTTCTTGACTCCCCCTCCCCTCAGGCCCCAGCCTCTGTGTTCACCCCTTCCTAAAGCTCAGAGCTCTGAACCCCTAATCTCTCTACTTAAAGGCCTCCTACGGCTCCCAGGTTCCTCCAGGATGGAGCATTGATGCCTCAGCTGGAAGACCCAGGCTCTTCACACAGGGCCTACCAGAGGTCCAGAGATGCTAGGCCACTTCCTTTTATTTAAGGATCCAAGTTAATTGAAAAAAAAATAAAAATAAAAACAAACAAGCAAAAAAGGCACACAGAATTACGAAAATTGTGGGGCATTTTTAAAAATATAATAGTGTTTATTTTTATTTTTACTCGTTGACAGTTTGCTTTATTTATTTATTTATGGCTGTGTTGGGTCTTCGTTTCCGTGCGAGGGCTTTCTCGAGTTGTGGCAAGCGGGGGCCACTCTTCATCGCGGTGCGCGGGCCTCTCACTATCGCAGCCTCTCTTGTTGCGGAGCACAGGCTCCAGACGCGCAGGCTCAGTAATTGTGGCTCACGGGCCCAGTTGCTCCGCGGCATGTGGGATCTTCCCAGACCAGGGCTCGAACCCGTGTCCCCTGCATTGGCAGGCAGATTCTCAACCACTGCGCCACCAGGGAAGCCCTGTGGGGCATTTTTTTGGGTTTGGTTTTTGGTTTTTTTTTTGCGGTACGCGGGCCCCTCACTGTTGTGGCCCCTCCCGCCGCGGAGCACAGGCTCCGGACGCGCAGGCTTAGCGGCCATTATTCACGGGCCCAGCCGCTCCGCGGCACGTGGGGTCCTCCCGGACCGGGGCACGAACCCGCGTCCCCCGCAACGGGAGGCGGACTCCCAACCACTGCGCCACCAGGCAAGACCTGTGGGGCATTTTTAATGTTATACTGAGCAAAGTCAAGCGTTAACCACTCCCACACCCCAGCGCAGATAAACCGTAATTACGCTGTTTCAAGATAATTGCCAAGGGTTCTCAGGCTCTTAACTTCCAGCCGCACGACTGGTGGAGCGGCGTGGCAAGGAGGCGGGAGTTCATCAGGTGGATCTCTGGAGGGTCAGCGTCGGGAGACTGGCGAGGACGCCCCCAACCCAAAGACGAGGCCCCTGGGACAACCCCTCTCCACACACACCCCCACCAAACCCCTCAATCTCCAACCCGCGGGCCGGGCAGGCCTCCCAGGCCGCGAGGCCGGCCCTCCATGCACCCACTCACCCGGCTCGGCCGAGCCCACCCTACCCTAGTAGCCCAGGGCGCCCGCGCACCCGGTGCCGCTGCCCCGCGAGCCGGGCCCCGCACCCAGGAGCCTCCACAGGAACCGTTATCTTGCCCGCGGCGCCCCCTGTGAGCTACACCGTGAGTCGGAGAGTGGGGTCCGGCGGCGACCCCCGCAAAGAGCCCGCGAGGGGGCGCGCGTCCCCGCGCTCAGCCGGCCGGCCACGACCCTCCTGCAGCGCCCGCCCGCGCGGGGCCGGCGGGAAGGCGGGGACTCGGTCCCCGCGCCACGCGGCTCGACCAATAGAAGCGCGCGCAGCGGGGCTCGGCGCCGACCACCTCGGTTGCTGAAAACCCGACGCGCGGGCGGCGGGCTCTAGGCGGGAGCCAGCGGACAGGCTCCCAGAGCACTCGAGGCCGGTGCGCGCTACCCCGCGGGTCCCGTGCGCGCGCCTGACCTCCCTTGCCCAGTCGGTGCGCGGCATCGCCCGGCCCCGATGGCCCCCGAGACCCCGGCCCAGGGGCCTATCCGGCGCTACTTCACCTGGGACGAGGTGGCGCAGCGCTCGGGACGCGACAAAGAGCGGTGGCTCGTGATTGACCGGAAGGTGTACAACATCAGCGAGTTCACCCGCCAGCACCCCGGGGGCTCCCGGGTCATCAGCCACTACGCGGGGCAGGACGCCACGGTGAGCGCCGCCAGTCCAGGGAACGGGAGGAGGAGGGGCCGGGCGGTCGGAGCCTGGGGCTCAGCGCGCGAGACGAGATTTGGCACCCAGGGCCGAACACTTTAATTCGGGGAAAAGCCGGGAGGCGCAGGAGCGTACCGGTTGACAGGTGATTGGGTGTGCTGCGAAAACGGGATGCAAGGGCAGGAGAGAGGCTGCGAAAAGTGGAGTCTGGGGAGTAGGGAGGGAGGGAGGGAGGCCGGCAACGTGCACGCACAAACAAAGGGCCGCGCCATCGGTCTGTGCGCTCTGTCTGCTGCCCGGAGTCTGCGGTCTCCAGGCGTGGGCAGTCCCCGGAGCAGGGGTAGGAGGGAGGACAGCGGGGATGTGGAACCCCCGGACCGCGGCACTGCCGAGACCAAGGGAGGAGGGGTCAGTGGCAGGGAGAGGGATCAAGTCTTGACCTGTCTTGGTGGCTGGGAGGGAAGCGCAGACGCGTCTGGGCCGAGCATGCCGGACTAGACTGGCGAGCGTGAGCAGGACAGAGAACGAGGGAACCACACTCAGGGATTTTCCTGAGGGGGAGAGCCAGCTAGTGCCCGCTGCCTTAGGAACCCCTGCACAGGGTGAAGACCGGAGGGTGGGGAAGGGGCAGCACCGGCCAGAGAGGGCTAGCGCCTGCTCGTGCACAAAAAAGAGTGGGGGCAGCGTGCTGAAGGTGGGGGGGGGGGCGCTGCATCAGCATACACTTAGCGAGGGCCCTGGAACAGTCCTGGAATCCTGTGGGGAGGTCACTCAGCCTCAGGCCAGCAGCTGTTTGCAGTTCTGGGCTGTAGGCCCCGTGCTGGGTCGCATCCCTCCTACCTCAGGCCTCACTGCGGGCCAGCGCGCGTCCCAGCCCCGATCCTGTTGCTTCCCTAGCTAGACGACCTGCTCTCGGAACTAAAGTACCTGGCACTTCCCTTCTGGGTTTGAGAGCTGGGGGTCCACTCCTTGGGACCCAAAGGTTGGAGCGTTCGCTTCGCGGTGTCCCCTCCCCCTATATCCTTCCCCTATCCTTCGCCTAGCAGCGTGACCCCTTCCACTGTCCCCAGCTTTCTCCCTGCCATCTCGGTGCGCGCCTCGGGCCACTAGGGTTCCCGTGATGTGGCGGTGCAGCCTAACGCGGTAAGGACCCGCCGCTCCCTCCTACGCGGCTGGCCTGGGAGTCGAGGCCTGAGCCTGTTCTCGTCTCCGGAGTGTCCACTGGGGAACTCAGGCAGTGGCCGAAGGTGAAGGTGTGGACTGGCGCATGCGTAGACGGAGCAGGCTTCCTGCAGGGTGATTTAGGGCCGGGGCCGGCCGCAGCGGAGACCGCGATTGGTCCGGATGTGTGGTGCCACCGGCCGCCGGCTCCGCCCCGGCTCCCTCCGCCTCCAAGCTTGTGGCTTTGGGCCTGGGGCTGTCTGACCTTCAGGACAGTAATCTCGTTAATCTAGTCACTGAGGACCCCACCTTGCGTAACCAAAATGAGTGCCCTAGGGCAGGGGGTGTTTAGAGTGGGAAGGGGAATATGGAACCCCAACCAGAACAGCAGCGGAGGGGAGGGGGAGAAATGCAAAAGTCCTCCAGTTGGACACAGGGAGTCTCCCTCAGCACATTTCATGAGACACCTAGAGGAAAGGCCAGCCCAGGCAGGTCTCTCTGTGGTCGCCCTACCCGTGCTTCCTGTTCCTTGGCGTGGTACCCTTCTTCCTAGAACACAGTTGTTGGGTGATCCTGAGCTGTGGACACCAGGGACAGGTCTGAGCACTCTCCAAGGGCAGCTGCCTGGAGGGGGGTGGGGTCTCTTTGAACTTGGGTACAGCCTCCTTGCTGGATCAGGAGGATGGTCTTTGGTGTGAGCCCTCCACAAGTCTTGGGGGGCCGGGCTGACTCCCTCACTGTTCTGCCTTCTCCCCAAACTTGCAGGATCCCTTTGTGGCGTTCCACATCAACAAGGGCCTTGTGAGGAAGTATATGAACTCTCTCCTGATTGGAGAACTGTCTCCGGAGCAGCCCAGCTTTGAGCCCACTAAGAATGTGAGACCCCGTTTGCTGTTTGGAGATCCTGCAGTTGTTGAGGGGCAAAGGGTAGAAGGAAGGCCTAGATATGATCACAGGGGACCACAGTCAGTAGTTCTTGGGAATCTCGAGATCCTTGCTTCTCCTGCATAGTCATTGGGTTGCAGGGCTTTGGAACCTGTGGTTCTCACAAGGCCACCACCACCATCCCCATCCTCAACATGAGACCTATCGACCGAGCACTTATTCTGTGCCAAGCATAACATCATATAATCCACATACAGTTACAGATGAGAAAACTGAGTCTCAGAGAGGTTAAGCAACTCGGCCAAGGATCACACCATTACTAAGTGGCAGAGCAGTGGCTTGAATGAATTCTGTTTAACTCCAAAGACCACATGCTCTTAGACTTGATCCCACAGCACCTTCTGTCATCCTTCCTCAGCGTTGTGGTATCTTTACCTAGGACCGTGGGCTTCCCTCAGCTACCTTGGTGGGAGGGCCTTGAGCTTAAGAGGGTCCTTGGCTCCAGTGCTGGGTTGCATCTGGGGAGAATAACACCCTTTCCATCTCCACTCTTCTGCAGAAAGAGCTCACTGAGGAGTTCCGGGCACTGCAGGCCACGGTGGAGCGGATGGGGCTCATGAAGGCGAACCCTGTCTTCTTCCTGCTGTACCTGCTGCACATCCTGCTGCTGGATGTCGCTGCCTGGCTCACTCTTTGGCTCTTTGGGACATCCTTCCTGCCCTTCCTCCTCTGTGCAGTGCTGCTCGGCACAGTTCAGGTGAGAGCCCTGGGCTTGTCAAGAACACAGCCAGCTCAGCTTCCGTGGGGAAACTTCTTTGTACCCCTCAGGAGGCCAAGGAGCCCTCTGTCCAGGGCAGAGCTGAGGACATGCGGGAGAGTTGGTGCAGAAAGAGCACACATTGCGTCGTCTGTGGCTTTCATCTGCTCGTCTTCACCACATGTGCACCTTCATTTCTCCCACTGCCTATCCAGCCGCTTCTCCCAGTGCTCCCTTCTTCCCGTGGCATTTCTCCTCTGGAACTTCACGTTCAGGTTCTGTCACAGTCCAGGTGTGCCAAGAACCAAGATTCTGGTCTCTCAGCTGGGGCCCTAATACTTGGCTGTCAGAACCCATTAGTTAAGCCTTCTACTTGCCTGAGTTTGTCAGTCTGTCCTGTTCTGTAGTTTGGATGTTCAGTCCGTCGGAAATCACAGAACTCCAGAGCTGGGAACACCAAAGAACCGGGAAGGGGTAGTGATTTGCCCTAGCTCTCGAGTCAGTGGCGGAGCCAGAAGCAGGACCCAGGCTTCCTGACTCCTTTCCTGATGTGCTCAGTTAGGCCAGCACAGGCCTAGGTAGATGAAGGACGAGGGGGAGGCCGAGTCAGTTGAGACAGATGCGGGGCTGGTGGGCTGCTCTCAGCACTAGCCTTTCTCACCCAGGCCCAGGCTGGCTGGCTGCAGCATGACTTTGGACACCTGTCCGTCTTCAGCACCTCTACATGGAACCACCTGCTACATCATTTCGTGATTGGCCACCTGAAGGTCAATGGGACGGGGAGGGGCTCTGTGAAACTCCAGTCAACAATGGGCTGCCTGTGGGAGGGGGGGCATCAGGCTTCCATACTGATGCCCTGCTTTTCTGTAGGGGGCACCTGCCAGTTGGTGGAACCACCTGCACTTCCAGCACCATGCCAAGCCCAATTGCTTCCGCAAAGACCCGGACATCAACATGCACCCCTTCTTCTTTGCCTTGGGGAAGATCCTCTCTGTGGAGGTAAGCAGAGGTATCGGTGAAGGTCTGAGAATGGGAACCAGGCAGCACACAGGGCTTGCAGGGAAGTGCTCACAATGCTGTCAGTGTGGGCAAGACATTGGGGGCCAGGCTGGCTGGCTGTTTGGAAGTTGTGGGACGCCACAGGCAGTAAGCAGGCTGCCCAGGACACTCACCTGTCCTCCCTCATGAGTTCAAGTCAGCAAATAGCTGTTGCAGAAAGGTACCCCATGCTGCTAAGGACCCAAAGGATGACCAGATTGCTGTGCAAACCCTGCTCAGCCTTGAAGGTGATGGATGGCCCGCCTTGCAGGTGCTTTTTAGACACTCCCCACCCCAGGCAGTCAGCGCCCTGCACTTTGTAATCCTCTCGCTACACTGGCTTACTCTTCTCTGATGCCCATTATCTAGAATATTTATTCACTGAGTAATTCTTCCCACCCGCCTGATCCTAGCCTGGCTTTCAGGGTGGTCAGCACTGGTTTGAGTTGTCATCTGAGGGTGTGAGCAACCATTATAATGTAGCTGCTAAAGCCTGGGGGTGGGTGGAGATCTGGTGAGCCTTTTAGTGAGTGTAAAGTGATGGACGGCTGTGAGTGGGCAGGGGAGTTCTTTAAAAAGTTAATTTAGGGCTTCCCTGGTGGTGCAGTGGTTGAGAGTCCGCCTGCCGATGCAGGGAACACGGGTTCGTG